AGGAAATTTCATGCACTCTCCATTCTTTTAATAACATTATTTTAACAACTTCAGGAAATTGGTTTCCATAGTCCGACTTATCTCTGCCGTTATAGTTACCCCCAAGTATATTAACTCTTTTTTTGTCCATTTGAAATCAAAGTCTCTCTTTAGGGAAAATAAATTATCTTTATGAATATTAATCGACATGGCTATTGTTTTATTCGTATTCAATTTATAATTTGAAACACTACTATATTTATTAAATTCTTGCATTAAGTACGGAAGAGAAACCAGAGGGTCCGTAATAGAAATCAAAATATCGTCAGCATATAGACATATCTTCCATTCATCAGATTGAGTTCCTATGCCTTTAATCCTATCGCCTTTAATCCCAGGATTTTGTCTAATATTATTTGCTAGTGGTTCAATTGACAAGATATATAATAAAGGTGAAAGAGGGCACCCCTGTCTCGTCCCATTTTTGATATTAAACCAATCTGAACATAAATCACGGGCTACTATACGAGCAGAAGGGTTTGAATATATAGCTCCCACCGCACTCAGGAACCATCCGTCAAAACCGAACTGTATCAAAGTTTTATTCAAATACCCCCATCCGACCCTGTCGAAGGCCTTTTCTGCATCCACCGACAGGGTCAGAAGGGGGGTTCCCTCGACTTGAGCCCATTCTATAATATCTAGAACCCTACGAGTGTTATTAGAGGAATGTCTTCCCTGCATAAAACCTATCTGGTCCCTGTGTATGAGTGATGGCAAAACTATTTTCAAACGTTCCGCTAAGATTGCAGCATAAAGTTTCATATCCACATTAACCAGAGAGATAGGACGGTAATTACTCACATCATCTGGATTTTTACCCCGTTTCAAAATTGGAGTAATATGAGCCCTTAATAGATCTTGAGATGCATTCCCTTTGGTTGCCAATTCATTAAAGGTGTCAGTTAACAACGGAATTAATTGTCTCTTAAAAACCTTAAAAAACAAATTTGTATACCCGTCCGGTCCAGGAGCTTTACTATTAACAAGTTTATCAATTGCCAGTTCCACTTCATGAGAAGATATATTTCTATTAATTTTCACCCTCTGGTCATTAGATAATTTAAACAGATTAGAATTTTTCAAATAGCTGTCCAACACATCTTGGTCAGGAAATTTATTCAAATTATAAAGTTTTTGATAAAACACTCTAAATCTACTGGCAATTTCTTCAGGCTTATAAAAGTGCTCATTCCCTTCTCTTAGCTTAGATATCTTCTGATCTCTCATCTTTTTCTTTAATTTATTTGTTAAGACTGAGTCTACCCGGTTATTCTTATAATAATATTTAATATTTAACTTGTTTAAATTCCGTTCCACCCTATTCTTAATCTGTTCATTTATCTTTTCCTGGTAGAGTTTAATTGCTAAAGCTCTATCGTCAGAATAAACTTGTTTATTGGCTTTAGAGAGATTATAAAATTGGATATAAAGATCCGACAAAATTTTATCTACATTTCTTTTTTGAAAACTTGAAAGTTTTATCCAATGACCCCTTATGACTGCTTTACACGAGGACCATAGACATTCTTTAGATACCTCCTCAGATGAATTCTCCTTAATGAAGAAATCGATTATCTTCTCTATATGTTCTACATTTGCTTTATTTTTTAGCAGATAATCTGCCAATTTCCAAATCTGAGGAGGTCGCTTGTTATTTTACATCAAGTCTGCAATTACCATATCATGGTCTGACCATGTGTTTTCAACGATAGAGATTGAAAAGATTGCCTGAACTGAGTTTAAATTACCCAAAATCATATCTATCCGAGCAGCCGAATTATGGGGAATAGATCTATGCGTAAAAAAACAGTCTCCAACAATCAAACAATTACGCTTTCTTAATCACTCTACTTAACGATGCCGTTTGCCTTTTAAGAGATTTATCTATCCTCTGATTTTTAGCCAATTGTTTGTCCCAAAAGGTATCAAAGATGCAATTAAAGTCACCTGCAAAAATAATTCTCCCTTTTTTAACCTGTTCTACCAAACCTAACATTTTCGTCAAATTTTTAATTGGATCTTTATTGGGTAAATAAACATTGACCAAAGTATAAAAGAAAGGGACTACTTTTCATTATGTATAGCAGCCAAGCTGACTAAACATGAGCATAGGCGCAGCTTAGCTAAGTTTGTTTCAGTTGCCAATTAAATTTATCCGCAATCCATCAGTAAAATGGATCCCACAGAAGGGCAAACAGAAGACAGCATTGGCAGAGAAGAACAAAATGGCTGCACCTAGATATTAATGATAGGAACAAGGAAGAAAAAATTATAAATATAAAGGGAAGCAGTAAAGGGAGGGTTGTAATCATTAACCCTTTAAGGACACAGCTTCAGAAGTACATTTTTATCATGTGTGCTTAAGGGGTTAAGATTAAAAAAGAGGGGCACTTTAAAAAGAGTATGGACACTAAATGGGAATTCAGATGATATTACACATACAAAGTACAAAAAGGATCTGCTGTAGATTAAGGAAAGTATTTAAAATAGTGTCTGTAGCAAAAATGTTTATGCCACATGATTTATATGTGAATTATAATATTATAACTAATAGCAGTGTTTCTTGTTTTTCATTATGCAAACAGATGCTTGCCAGGATTTTTAACCCATGTATTTAAGAAATATGCATATATAAAGTATAAAAAATAAAATAAAATGTAGAAATCCACACATTTTTCTTCTACACCTCGGTGCCTCCATATTGAATCCGTCAAACATTATTATAAGCTCTGTCCTTTTCACCTGGCATTCAGCAAAGAGAACGCGTACATGGAATAGGAGTAATGAAATAAACAGTTATTCATTAAACACTGAATCGTAGCAAATTAAGTCCAAATGGCAAAACTGAGGCTAAACTAGCTGATCTGAAAACAAATCTCTAACTCAGCTCTAGTCATAGCCTGACTATTTTAGCCTTAGTTTTGCAATTCATATTTATTTAGCTAAATTCCAGTGTTTTGTAAGTAACCCTGACTGTTTTTCTATTTCTCCACCTCATTTGCAATGACTGGCCTGCCTTTGCTAGAACTGAACCGAATTGTCATGTAATTTGATAAATCTTTAACATTACTTGAAAAGAACACGGAGCATCACATCGAAAAGCTCTGTAATAGGTGCAAAACTTTGTATTAAAACAATAAAAAGAGAAGTAATGTTTTTACCAAACAACTTTTCTGCTAGTCTGTACTGTGTTTGTAGTAAGTGCAGTGTGTATAATGAATGTAGTGTGTTTGTAGTGAATGCAGAGTGTGTATAATGAATGTAGTGTGTTTGTAGTGAGTGCAGAGTGTATATAATGAATGTAATGTGTTTGTAGTGAGTGCAGAGTGTGTATAATGCATGTAGTGTGTTTGTAGTGAGTGCAGTGTGTATAATAAATGTAGTGTGTTTGTAGTGAGTGCAAAGTGTGTATAATGAATGTAGTGTGTTTGTAGTGAGTGCAAAGTGTGTATAATGAATGTAGTGGGTTTGTAGTGAATGCAGAGTGTGTATAATGAATGTAGTGTGTTTGTAGTGAGTGCAGTGTGTATAATGAATGTAGTGTGTTTGTAGTGGGTGCAGAGTGTGTATAATGAATGTAGTGAGTGCAGTGTGTATAATAAATGTAGTGTGATTGTAGTGAGTGCAGAGTGTGTATAATGAATGCAGTGTGTAGTGAGTGCAGAGTGTGTATAATGAATGCAGAGTGTGTATAGTGAATGTAGTGTGTTTGTAATGAGTGCAGAGTGTGTATAATGAATGTAGTGTGTTTGTAGTAAGTGCAGATTGTGTATAACGAATGATGTGTGTGTGTGTGCTGGATAATAGGGGGTGGGGGGGCTTTTAAAAAAAATGTATGCGTGTATATTTTTTAGGTTTATTCCCCCCTCCCTGCTTCTTACCTTGTCAGGGAGCGGGGAGATCGCCTGGTGGTCTTACCTTGTCAGGGAGCGGGGAGATCGCCCGGTGGGGCAAGCACACAGTGTGTTCCCTATCCATCTCTAACTCTCGCGAGACTCGCCTTCGTGCTGTGCGGAGCGTTGCCATGGTAACCTGTGGCAACGCTCTGACAACCGCGGGTCTCGCGAATGTGAGACAGAGCTGGAGAGGGAACACAGCGTGTGCTGGGCCCCCATGTACAGGTAGCAAGGCAGGTCCAGCAGGATCACTAGTGGGAACGGCGTTCCTGCTTTGGAAAAAGTGCAGGAACGCCATTCCCATGCGTTCCTGCAGGACTCGAGCCCTGGTTATAGTAATGTGAAATAGAAATAGGGGGCAGTCACCTAAGGCACACACACACACACACACACACACTTGCTGATTTGGCACACACTAAAAAACACACACTCACTGACAGGCACACGCACATAATCACTGACAGGCACACAGAAAGACACACTGTTACAGGCATACTGACTCAGACAGACAGACATACTGACACACACACACACAGACATACTGGCGCACACAGACACAGACATACTGACGCACACAGACATACTCAAACACACACATACACACAAACGTTACACTCTTAAAACCAGTAGACAGAG